TGAATGTTGTGAAGTTTCACTTAGCAAATAATACCCATTTTTGTCATATTCTTCTCAACTTTTTAGGCAATTCACTGGGACAATGCATACTCCTCAGATATGTCAGTATCATCATTTTTCAAACTCAATTTTTCAATTTTTCATGTGGGGGATTTCCTGTTTTCCACAACATTTTTCAATGGTACACAGTTTTGCAACTGCAGTTACAAAAATAATAATGAAAAAAATAAATTCAAATGAAACATACAGTAAATCTTGATACAACCTGAGTGCTATATGTATCATTGCTAAGATACAGTATGTACTTTATTGTAATTTTGCTAACATTTACATTTATGGTTGTTGCGTGTTATTTTTTTGTATGTAGGCAAAATCTTTCTTTGAGAAAAGTAAAACAGGAAACAAGTTGTCTAAAATTATTGTACTGTATATACAGTCATGTAAAAAGTAATTTTGCCCCATGGAAATTATTCCCTTTTTTAAATATTTGTACAGTCACATGTTCAGATCTTCAGATCTTCAAATAAACAGTGCCATAAAAACAAGAAAAATATGCCTTTTTCATTTCCATCATTTAACAATTTTAACAAAAAATATCAATTGATATGGGCATTATGGTGGAGGTGAAGGGGGGTTGGTTGGTGCTCAAGGGCCTTTATGGGAATAGTTTAACATAACTATATGTATGCCTAAACTTTCTCTTTATGTTTCTGAGAGTGTTAGTGGCAGTACCGGGCCTCTATATGGAGCCTGGTATCTTTAGATTTCAGATCTTATACATTTTTGTACATATTATATATATAGATCACTGCTGTCTTTGGTATTCCGCTTATATACTCTTTTGACTATAAACATCGGTCCTCAGTTAACACTGAGAATCCCCTCACTTCATTATTTGAGTATTTGTTATATTTAAGTTCTGTGGGTGTAACTCTGTCCTTGCTGAGATTGCTCGATTTTTCCCCATATAGATTTCAAGATTTCTGTCTGTTATCTGAGTATTTGGGGTCAGAAAGGTCTCTGTTGGCTTATTTTGCCAATTGTTTTCACTAGTTCTGAGTGCTAAGATTATTTTCTTGGCTTCTGTTCTCTTTTCCTTTTTTCTCTCAACTTTCTCTTTGTTGCGAAACCCCATTCTTTCTCTGCACTCTCTGTTTAGCGTTACTCTCTACCTTTGATTCCCCCTCCTCTCCCCCCCCCCCCCCTTTTTTTTTCCATTGCCATGGGGGTTTCCCAGTCTGCGACCTCTCTGAAGCTTTCTTCTTTTAATGCTCGTGACTTGAATGAATCCTCTAAACGTTCTCAGATCCCGTACAGCTTTCACAAGTCCAATGTAGGTTTGGCCTTTTTTTCAGGAAACCCATTTCCACACTGATCGTATCCCTACCTTACGCAATAAGTACTACACATCCTGGTTTCATAGTACCTATGCTCATTCAAAATCTGGTGGGGGAGGCGATTTGCCATTCATAAATCAATCCCATACATGTTGTCAGATGTTTGCATTGATCCTGACGGTAGATATTTGTTTGTGAAACTCTATATATCTGGCAAGATGTACACACTGGCGAATATGTATATCCCTACTCAGGATCAAATTTCCTATGTGCTTCATAAATTATTGGACTTCGCTGAAGGTGTAATACTTTTAGTGGGGGATTTTAATTGCATACTGAATCCCTCTGTTGATCACTCTGCAGATCGAAGTTCTATCTTCCACTCATGACTCAACAAACTGAACAAATTTCTCCAGCAACCTAACCTGATGGATGTGTGGAGGTTTTCGCATCCAACAGATAGAGATTAATCATACTATTCGGCAGCTCACAAATCTTATTCACATATCCCTTTTTTTTCCAGTGAGTCATTTCCCTTTGACCTTTCGCCCGCAGAGTAGTATTGGCAATATTCTTTGGTCTGACCATGCACCAGTGTACCTGTCCCTTTCCCTACTGGATGTGTCGAAACAGGAGTGGACTTGGCAAATTAATGATTCGCTTCCCCAAGATGATCTATGCTTCAATAATGTTAGGCAAACTGTAACTAACTTTATTGCTGACCACCGAACTGATGATACCCCCCCGTTCATTGAAATGCGTGGTTTGGGGTTTCTTCATTAAACATGGCTCTAGGCTTAAAAAAAGATCGTTTGGCCCAAATAGCGGATCTTTCGGCTCGCATTTCCATTCTAGAAAAATCTCATAAACGTACTCAATGTCCCTCTACTATACTTGAGTTTTCTAACGCTAGACTTCGACTTTTGAAATGGCTACCAGGGACAGGATGTGCAAACTGTTTTATGTTGAGGCTAATAAACCAGGGAAAAGGCTCACCAGGGCGTTGCATGCCAGAAATAGCATTGCGTCTATTACAAAACTTAAACGCCCTGACGTCAACTTATGCATCTCCCGAAAGAAATTAATGAAATTCTCAGGTTTTTCCTTGATGGTCTGTATGGTTTGCCTTCTTGTCCGGAGGCATGTCCTCTGATATCCATGTTCTGCTGAATACATTGCTAAAACCGCTCTTCCCACTATATCTCCAGCAGTGGTACAAGATTTAGACCAACCTTTTACAGAAGAAGAACTCACAAAGAAATGATCAGTCTAAAAATTGAATGGCAGGTGTATTGTAACACTGAGAGACAGAATAGCAACATGAAATGCAAAAGAAATGCATGTCTAACAAATTATGCACTGATTTGCATGTTCATGAGGGAAATAAGTATTTGATCCCCTATCATTCAGCAGGATTTCTGGCTACCAGGTATCTTTCATACAGGTAACAAGCTGAGATTAGAAGCAGTCTCTTAAATACTTATTTTGCTCATGAACATGCAAATCAGTGCATAATTTGTTAGACATGCATTTCTTTTGAATTTTGTGTTGCTATTCTGTCTCTCAGTCTTACAATACACCTATCATTCGATTTTTTAGACTGACCATTTCTTTGTGAGTGGGCAAACATTCAAAATCAGCAGGGGATCAAATACTTATTTCCTTCACTGTATTTGAATCCATCTCCATTCCTTTCTAAATGGCAACAGGAACTACACACATGTGAGGACAGTCTGGACTGGGACTAGATATTGGCTGAATCATACAAATTATCTGTATCTTCTTATGTTCATGAGCGCAATTACAAGATCCTGTCTAGATGGTGTCGGTGCCCTACGACTTTGCATAAAATTGACCCATCTATCTCTGAGATTTGTTGGAGATGCTTAGAAGAACCTGGTACCATGACCCATATTTGGGGCACTTGCCAAAAAATTTTACCTTTCTGGGAGAAAATTCTCAATTTGTTTCATACACTAGTAGGAGACAACATTCCAAATGAACCTCAGATTACCATACTGTCTATATGTTGCCAGGGTCATATAAGCAAATTAAAAAAAAGTCTAGTACGCCACTTTATTATGGCCGCTCGTTATGTGATTGCCAGGCATTGGCGTCAGACTGAGGTTCCATCTATAGCTGAATGAACTTGTGAGGTTGACAGGATTGAACATATGGAACAAATGATTGCATGGGACAAGAATACATCCGTATCATTCAAGCTTATGTGGACAGTGTGGTCTCACTTCAGAATTTCAAAGGACTTTGACTCCTTTATTTCAGCGTTGGTTGTCGGTCCTTCTGGTATTCAAATTCTTTTTCCCCCTTTCCTTCCCAATCACACCCAACACCCCCCCCCCCCCCCCCCCCATGGCATCACTTATTTTACAGTGTGCTTTGATATTTCACTTGCGTTACGGATAATATTTTTCTTCATTCAGTTGGATATAATAACCTCATTTCCCTAAGGCATTGGGTATATCTGGGCAAGATGTTTGGTGCATTTTTCCCCTTTTCTACTGCTTTATAATATATTACTTTTGTTTTTCATATGAGGGTGTTCTGTTTGTGACATATTCATATGCTTTGTATAAAATATACGTACTTCTGTAATATTTGCTAATACTTCATGATAAAAATAGATTAAACATAAAAAATATAATTGATGCAAAGGTGTACTGTGGAACAAGTGAACATCCCTTGGCCTCAGAAGCTGGTATCACTTCCCCATTTAGCAGAAATTACTTGTTTGCATAACTACCCACCAGTCTCTGACATTGACATGATGAGGTTTTTGACTGCTTCTCCATGAAAAATGTCTTTGCAAAATGTTTTTGGATTTCCTTTCATGAACTCATTTCAAATACCCTACCACATTTCAATGGGACTCAAATCAGATTTTTGCATTGGGCAGTCCATAACCCTCCATTTTTTTCTGCTGGAGTCATACCTTAGTGAATTTGTTGAACTGTTTCAGATCATTATTGTGTTAAAACATTAATTTCTGGAAAAAATGGCTTCACATCAGAGGTGTAACTAGAATCTTCAGGGCCCAGGTGCAAGAAACTTTGAAGGGCCTCCCTGACTCCTCCCATCGGTCCCAGGGCCCCTTCCACTTGTCCCACGGCCCTCCCCACTGGTCCCGGGCCCTTTACTCCTGTTGTGGGGCCCTTTCACATGTTCTGCAATGGGCCCTCTTCCTACCGTCTTGGGGCCCCCCACATTGGCAGAAAGCAAGAGATATGTCACCAGCACACCAGGAAACTCCATTAAAGTGTTATACGCAGTGGCAGAACTAACAGGGCTGCAAAGGTTGCACTTGTGACCGGGCCCCCACGTTCTGCCACCATGGGGGTCCTCAGCCTCCTCTTGGTTTCCTGTCCTTGCTATTGACAGTGCGGGTCTGGTGTCTCTGTCTCCATGGCAGCTGCGGCAGTCTATTAGGACCCAGTGCTGGTTACATTATGTGGCTGATGGGTGCATGCAGGGGAAGGCTGGCACTATTGGTTGTAGACAGCTCAGTCCCCAGCCGCTTACCTAGCAGCAGTAACACTGCATAACCTTATCTGTTGACATGCTGATTGGGATGTGATCCAGGTGATGTTCCCAGTTGGATCAAATAAACACAGTATTTATTAGAATCAAGAGTACCATCTCATATACCAAATCGTTGGATTCAGGTATTCCAATCACCTCCATGGCCACAAGTGTATAAAATCAAGCACCTAGGCATGCAGACTGCTTCTACAAATATTTGTGAAAGAATGGGTCGCTCTCAGGAGCTCAGTGAATTCAAGCGTGGTACCATGATAGGTTGCCACTTGTGCAATAAATCCATCTGTGAAATTTCCTTGCTACTAAATATTCCACGGTCAGCTGTTAGTGGTATTATAACAAAGTGGAAGCAACTGGGAGCAACAGCAACTCAGCCACGAAGTGGCAGGCCAGATAAAATTAATGACAGATCTGGGTCAGCGCATGCTGAAGCGCACAGTGCACCTAAGTCACCAACTGTCTGAAGAGTCAATAACTAAAGACCTCCAAACTTCGTGTGGCCTTCAAATTAGCACAACAACAGTGCGTAGAGAGCTTTACAGAATGGGTTTCCATGGTTGAGCAGCTGCATCCAAGCCTTACATCACCAAGTGCAATGCAAAGTGTTGGATGCCATGTTGTAAAGTACGCCGCCACTGGACTCTAGAGCAGAGGAGATGTGTTCTCTGAAATAACCAAACACTCTCTTCTCTGTCTGGCAATTCGATGGACATGTCTGGGTTTGGCAGTTGCCAGGAGAATGGTACTTTTCTGACTGCATTGTGCCAAGTGTAAAGTTTGATGGAGGAGGGATTATGGTGTGGGGTTGTTTTTCAGGGGTAGGGCTTGGCCCTTAGTTTCAGTGAAGTCTTAAGGCGTCAGCATACCAAGACATTTTGGACAATTACATGCTCCCAACTTTGTGGGAACATTTTGGGGATAGCCCTTTCCTGTTTCAACATGACTGCGCACCAGTGCAAAAAGCAAGGTCCATAAAGACATTGATGAGCTAGTTTGGGGTGGGAGGAACTGGCCTGCACAGAATCCTAACCTCAACACAATAGAAAACCTTTGGGATGAATTACAGTGGATTCAGGCCTTCTCCTCCGACATCAGTGCCTGACCTCACAAATGCGCTTGTGGAAGAATGGTCAAACATTCCCATAGACCAGTGTTTCTCAACTCCAGTCCTCATGGACCCCCAACAGGTCATGTTTACAGGATTTCCCTCAGATGAAACAGCTGTGGTAATTACTAAGGCAGTGAAACTGATCAAATCACCTGTGCAAAATAATGGAAATACAGAAAACATGACCTGTTGGGGGTCCACGAGGACTGGAGTTGAGAAACACTGCCATAGACACACTCCTAAACCTTGTGAACCACCTTCTCAGAAGAGTTAAAGCTGTTATAACTGTCAATATATGAACCCTACGGACTAAGACTGGGATGCCATTAAAGTTCACCTGCATATAAAGGTGTCCCAATACTTTAGGCAATAAAGTGTGTATATATATCAACCATATGTTCAGCAGCCATGTGGACTCCTTGCCTGCAAGGTGAGGGCTCTGATCAATAAAACCACTATCATATCTAATATTAGATCCGATCAGGAGCATCATCTGGATCGCATTCTGATCAGGATGTCAAAGAAGGCTAAGTAGCATTACTGCTGCTAAGTTGTGTACAACCAAATGAGTCAGCCCTCCAGCGCATGTACCCATCAGCCTTAAAATGTAGCCAGTTCTAATGTGCTGCTCCTGCTGCCATGGAGACATAGATCAGCACTGTCAATAGCAGGAGCAGGACAGCAACCCTGATTGTTTGGCCATTGGTGACCCTGGTAGTTCCACCACTGGTCCACAGTGGGAGGAATGTGTAGATGGGGGAATTTGAGCATTTTTTTTTGTTGTTCAATCTAGTTGAAAAAGCGAAAAAGCGATCATTGTATGGGTTGCCTAACAGGAACTGAAAGTTTGTGAAGATCTTGAAAGAACAGAGAGGTGGAATGGACAGGAGAAATCAGTCTGTTTTTTCATAATGGGCGGTCGGCAACACTGCTTGGGTCTCCCCCCCCACGATGGTTGAACTCCAGGGCCCAGTTGCAAGTGCGACTTCTGCCACCCTGGTGGTTCCGCCACTGTCTCACAGTCTCATAAAGTTTAACTCGTGGATAAGCAAATATTGCCTAACTACTAGATTGCATGTGTGTTTTTACTTGAATCTTGGTATGCTCTGTGTATTTCTTCCAGATTTGTATAATAATCAAGTTAGAAACTTTGCCTCTGTGCAGGAACTTTCTATAATAAAGAATGGTCAGTGCCGCGCCTGTAGATTTTAACATAGCTATACATATAACTTCACTTGAGATCCTCGGCTGCTCTATTTCGCCCAAAGAACCTTTTTTTTTTCCACCTAGAAAAAAGAGCTCTTACATACTTCAGAGGTCCAACATACAAATGAAGATGAAATGATGTGGTGAATACATTTAAATATGTATACAGTAAATTTTAACCATTCTTTATGAATACATACTGTATATATTTTTAGCATTCTAAGGTGACAACTCCACTTAGTAATGCCAATAACCTATGCATTATTGAAGAGACCCCACTGGCTGTTTCAAGAAAAAGGTGATAGACTGTCTACAACATCTAGAAAACATAAAAGCATTTGATCTGAACTTTTACTACAATCTATTTGTAACAATCTAACTGCAACAAGCCTGTATACTTAGTTCCTCTCCGAGAGCCCAGTAGTGAGAACCCTCTCTGAGAACCCAGTGTGAACCATTAGCTACATTAAAATGAAGCCGCTGGTGTGGGCTGTGGAGTAAACAGTGCTGATGCACTAATTATATCACAATAAGCATGTGCATAAAGTTATATAACTTTATTGAAATGTCAACATGACCTTTATGCACTGCAGCACATTGCAATGTATTGTGTCGCAACACACTGCAGTAAGAAAAAAGTCCTGCATGCCTTTCTTTTCTTTAGCACACACCAACGCAACACAATGTACTGAAAACATAGGACACAAGGCAAACTGCCTTGTCTATGCGGTGGGACACTTCGGGCAAGTCTGGCCAGAGCAGTGTAATGCATCATGGCTTGAACAGGCCCTTAAACTGGTTATCAGGAGCATCAGTTCAGGTAAATGATTGCTATGCATTTGGCTACAAACCTATCGCTTTTTGTTTGCAACGTGGTACATCACAAAGAATTTGTCAACTATGTCTATGGTTGAACTTAAAGACAGAGGATAAATATCACTAACCATCTGACTTGTATACCAACTGCAGAGGCTTTTTAGACTGTAAAGGTGGTGTATTGCCTAGTATGCCCATGTGGTCAACATTACATAGGTAGAACCATCCGTACATGGCGGAAGCGCTTTGGTGAACACCGGCGGTCCATCGAGGATGGTAAAGATATACACCGTGTTCCCAGACACTTTATGGAACATCATGCTAAATCTACTGATGGACTTAAGGTCTGGGTAATCGAAGCCAAACCTGATAACCTCCCTGTAGCTGAAAGACTTCAGCGTCTACGTCATAGAGACATATTGGATCTATGGCTTGGATTTACTATCCCCAGGTGGCTTAAACGAGGAGCTCAAGATTAGTACCATAATATAGATAATGGTGGTTGTTATATAGTTTAAATTGTCTTTCTGATTTCCCCCTCTTTAGCTTCCATAGTTTGTACATTTGATCAGTATACTAATATAACACTGGGGGGGTTGGGGTTCTCTGTCCATGTACATCATTGACATGTGAGTAATCCATATATAAGAGTAATTATTTTTACAGATATTGTCTATATGTGATTTCTCTCCGGGATTATCTCTCTGTTTGCTTTGTATGCCATTTCCTATATGATATTCAGGCACAACGCTTAAATCTATGGTTTGACATGATTTATTGCTCCCAGTATGTAAACTGCTCTGTATGAGTCTTATTTTGATCCCAGTACTTTACCAACTAATTTACTTCTGCTGACACTGACATTTCAATTCTAATTGTAATTTATAGTTCTCGGTATCCTATTCACATTAGCCATTCATTAAGCAGGGATCCTGTCACCGTGTTTCCATGCCACGATCTCTGCTTGGGTTTACTATAGTTGGCATGTATGAGCGTGACCACTCCACCTTGGCACCACCCCGCCCCCGCGCTCTATTTAAATTGACTCTGTTCACCGCGGGTCACAGTCTTGATGAAGGAGCTATCTGTGCACGCTCCAAAACATGTCACTGCCCACTACTGACGTGCATTCCACGCGGACGGTGTGCGTTTCACGGCAGTCCAGGAAGAGCGGCGGCCATCATGACACTGCTACCTGAGCTCCTCCTGCAGCTGCTGTCAGCACAGTAAGATCCAGAACATAGTGACAGGAGCCCTGCACCCGACGCTATTTACAGTGGGGCAAAAAAGTATTTAGTCAGCCACCAATTGTGCAAGTTCTCCCATTTAAAAAGATGAGAGAGGCCTGTAATTGGCATCATAGGTAGACCTCAACTATGAGAGACAAAATGAAAAAAAAATCCAGACAATCACATTGGCTGATTTAGAAAGAATTTATTTGCAAATTATGGTGGAAAATAAGTATTTGGTCAATATCAAAAGTTCATCTCAATACTTTGTTATATATCATTTGTTGACAATGACAGAGGTGAAACGTTTCCTGTAAGTCTTCACAAGGTTGGCACACACTGTTGCTGGTATGTTGGCCCATTCCTCCATGCAGATCTCTTCTAGAGCAGTGATGTTTTGAGGCTGTCGCTGGGCAACACAGACTTTCAACTCCCTCCAAAGGTTTTCTATGGGGTTGCGATCTGGAGACTGGCTAGGCCACTCCAGGACCTTGAAATGCTTCTTAGGAAGCCACTCCTTTGTTGCCCGGGCGGTATTTTGGATCATTGTCATGTTGGAAGACCCATCCACGTTTCATCTTCAATGCCCTTGCTGATGGAAGGAGGTTGCACTCAAAATCTCGCGATACATGGCCCCATTCATTCTGTCCTGTCCATGGATCAGTCGTCCTGGTCCCTTTGCGGAGAAACAGCCCCAAAGCATGATGTTGCCACACCCATGCTTCACAGTAGGTATGGTGTTCTTTGGATGCAACTCAGCATTCTCTCTGGTAGAAACACAACTCGTCATGATATCCCTGGCTTCAGAAGCACAATCCGACCTTTAATTGGCGGTCAGCCGAGATTCTCTCGTGGTCTCCACAGTGTGGGGCCGGTTGCATCCGTGGACCTGTTAAAGTGTTGTGTGCCTCCTCGGACTCTGTGTTGCCCACTGACTATGGGGAGTACCTGGATGTGTTTGACAAGGTGCACGCCGGTGCTCTGCCTCCTCATCGTCCATACGATTGTGCCATAGCCTTGCAACCAGGTGCCACTCCTCCTCGTGGCAGGGTGTATCCTCTTTCGGGTTGCGGAGAATCAGGCCATGGAGGAGTACGTTGCGGATG